TTTTTTTTGCTGCTACTAGTTATCAACAATAGTTCCTGTTTATTTGCCATTGAGCTCTATTTACAGAACAGAATGGCTACTTTATAGTTCAATTAAAAAATCTTACCAATCTGAAATACGCACTTGTTGGCTCTCAGTCACCAGGAATATTGGATCCAGTCGCGCTGAACTTCTGTCTCCTCCACAATATTGGTTTTGGTATCTAAACCGTCAACAGAAAATGGATTGTTCTAAAATTTCTTCCATTCTACTATCGTAAAAAAATAATTTAACAGGGTTTATTGAATAATCTCATTTGCGTCTTTCTCTGTGCTTAGTCTGGCTTCGTCTGACCAGCACAAATGTTACCAAACTGCTTCACAACCTCCCATGAAATGTAAGCATTTTTTCTTATCTGTAACTTGTGAAGACACAATCCGAAGATTAAACCGCAAGAGCATGGAAAATAATGAGTAATATTATAAAAATGAAATGATGAATATGGAAGAAAATAAAAACAACAAATGTATGTTTGCTCTCTTGAAGCTGTACACACACAGGTTGCCCTTTATAATGCAAATCTTTCACACTAGAGTCTGGACAAGTGTCTATTCATTTGCTACTAGGAAAACTGGAATAAATATTAGTAACTATTTGAATAGTTATAACAATATGGTTTTAAATAAGTATAGATAACAAAACTTTATACTACTAAGTTGTAAGGAATACATATTAATATATTTTGCCACATGTAATGTAACTTGGCTTTAATGCACATAAAGTTATGTCAGTTATTATTATTATTATTCTTATTCTTTGAATCTCACAATCATGTAAAGGTCATATTTCACCACAAAATGTGCCCTCCAGGTCGGGTCCTGCTTTATTGGTGTGTTGGGTTTCTCTCTGTGATGACACTGTTCTTCTTATTGAGGCCTGGAATGAATCCGCTGAGAGTTTGTGGCTTCCGCTTTCACTGTGTCAGACAAACGGTGCAGGAGTCAACATGAGGCCATCAGCTTTCATTTAAAATATAGACTATTTACGCACATTATTACAGACTATTGCTCCGATAATATTTGAACTGAACTGAGCTGGACGATTACATCACTGAATCAATGATGAACTGACTTTAACTGTTTACTATTATTGTCCCCTTGCATTGTCGACACACTGTTTTCCTGTTTAATACTGTAAAGCTGCGTTGACACAATCTGTATTGTATAAAGTGCAATATAAATAAAGATGACTTGACTTTACACCCCGTGTGCTCATGAAACACAGCCTGAGACTGACAGCCTGAGGACAGCTGTATATTATAATGGGTGGCTGACATGAAGCCATGAATTCCAGTTTTTTCATAAATAATGAAGACTATGTAAATCAGACAAAGTAGGCCTGCTTTAATTTAGGGTTTATCTTCACTTGAAAAGCACAGAGGAATTGTAAACTGATTAGTTCTGGCAGAGCATCAGCATTCTGTGATAATTTTGCAATTATGCAACCAGCAAGTTTAAACGGTAATAATGGATCAGCTCAGCTTTATAACAAACTGTTCCAGTTCATTGTTCCACTTCCAGTATTAACTCCATAACAATCCAGCAGTTACTTAGCTACTAAACCAGTTAGCGATGACATGAAAACCAGCATCCTATTTTTATACCCAGTATTAATGGCTTTATTGGTTTGTAGCGTCTGTTTGTTCTAAACAAAGAGCGCTCATGAGTTATGCGCTGTTCTCTTTTGTAAGTTGTATACTGATGTACAGAGAGTCTCTGTAGGGTTGCAATCAGGTCTTGTACAAAACAGAGTAGGAGGTTTGACCCAGATCCCTCCCTGCAGTATTTTCAGTGCAGGAGACTGAAAGGGCAGCGTTACAGGAAAAGGCTGAAAAGCAAGACAAATGCAGAAAAGAAAAGAAGAACAAGGAAACAATAGGGATGTAGACATAAGTATAGACATTTAAAGCCCTGTTTTTGTGGCTTTTTATCCATGTCTGTTAGTGTTTAGGTCATCAAAATATGGACAAAATTAATTATATTAAAAAATGTTAATTTAATTAAAAGTGCATTTACAGTGTACAGACTTTCTGGAGCAGAAATACTGATGACATCATGTTGCACTCATGGGCGTGTCCACATTTTTTGTCCAATCAAATGCTCTCTAGAACAGGGGTATCAAACGCAATTCCTGGAGGGCCGGAGCCCTGCAGAGTTTTGTTCCAACCCTGCTCCAACACATACCATGTGGTTTTCAAATAATTTAAATAATTAAATTTTTTATACAAGTACCTTATATGCATTTATTTGATCAAAAATACAGTAAAAACAGTAATATTGTGAAATATTATTTAAACATTTAAAATAACGATCCTCTATTTGATTATATTGGGCTGCTTAATATTTTTATGGAAAACACGATCATTAGTTTCTATAGGATTCTTTGATGAATAGAAAGTGCAAAAGAACAGCATTTATTTGAAACCGAAATCTTTTGCGACAATATAAATGTCCTTACTGTCACTTTTGATTCATTTAAAGGGGTCATATGATGCGATTTCAATTTTTCCTTTCTCTTTGGAGTGTCACAAGCTCTTGGTGCATAAAGAAGATCTGTAAAGTTGCAAAGACTAAAGTCTCAAATCCAAAGAGATATTCTTTATAAAAGTTAAGAGTCAGCCACACCTACCTAAAACGGCTCGTTCTAACACGCCCCCACATATCTACGTCACGATGTGGGAAGATTTGCATAACGCCGCCCAAATGTTCACGCAAAGAAAGAAGGCGTAACTTTTATTCTCACTGTAGTATTGTTGTTGCCGCCGCCGCCATGTCGTGAAGGCGCTGTGTGCTTCGTTGTGAAAGTGAAACTACTTTGTTTGGCCTGCCCAAAGAGGATGATATCGCTTCGTCATGCCTGGAGCTGATCCGTGCTGGTCGCTGAGGAAATACATCAACTTCACGCTGTCGATCACTGGATCGGCTTTCACCGTGGACGAAGCGGAGTCCAGCCCGGGGTCGTCACATGTGGTGGCCGCAGGCATCACAATATAGTAAGGCCGTAACATTTCCGTCACACGCTTGAGGAATTCGGCCAATCACAACGCACTGACTGGATAGCTGGCCAATCAGAGCACACCTCGCTTTTTCAGACCGATGAGCTTTGTAAAGATCGACACGTTTCAGAAAGGCGGGGCATAGAGGAGAAACAATAATGTACAGTATGTGGAAAATAATGTGTTTTTTGAACCTTAAACTGCATAAACACATTTCATTACACCAAATACACAAAATAATGTTCTTTTTAGCAGCATCATATGACCCCTTTAATGCATCCTTGCTGAATAGCAGTTAGATTAAATAGTAATAATATTTCTTTTTTTTTTACTGTTTTACTATATTTTTTTTGATCAAATGCATGCAACCATTGTGAGATTAAAAGACATTAAAAAGAATTAAACCATTAAACCAATTAAGAATATTAATTATTCTGAATTTTTGCATAGGAGGTGTATATAAAACTTGGTCTTGTTTGCATTTGCATGTGAAAGTCTGAGTTTTTGTGCAAATCTGCAATTTGACATCTGCAAATGTCACTTTGGGGGCTCTGTAAGAATGAGAACAACTCCTAATCCTAGCTGTTTTTTAGATGGATGGTTCTTTGCAAAGCCATCCCTAATTGGAGTGGAGAAAGGAGACATTTCGATGTACAGTAATTGGGCTTTTCTTGAACTCACTGAACCGTTGTAAGTAAATAAGCCTGGTGTTTGTTTAAATCCAGATCTATTTCAGGTTCATGAAAATCCTTGAGGTTAAAGAACTTCGGCTTAACTCAGTTACCAAACATGCAAATTTTGACACTCTCTATGTCCTGTCTGCAGCCCAAATACCACTTTCGGACTCGCTTCCCTCTTGCTTTGAAAGCCTATTCAGTTGTTAAGTGCATAGCATTTCTAGGAAGCAGACATTCAGATGTCCTGATTAATAACTGATTTTTTGCTTTGGCATTTATTATATTATCATTTGAGACCTGTAGTAAGACTTCAGGCTTGGACTTCTGCTGCTTTCTGCAGTATTAAAGCTGGTTGCATCAGGCAGGTAACATTAATAATAATTGCATCCTTGAGTCATATGAAGGTAATATATATTTTATTTACGTCATTATTATTATTATTCTTGATCATAATTACATTTAGGGATTTAAACAAACTTCTAAGTATATATATATATATATATATATATATATATATATATATATATACAATTTGTAGGAACATAAAACAGTTTTAAAAAATCTCACATACTACGTTACCATTCAAATGTTTGAGATTTTTTTACTTTGCGTCAGTGCTTTGTCTAATTGATTGATTTGCCGTTTGTTTATTGTATTATCATTTGTGACATGTAATAAGACTTCAGACTTGTGCTTCAGTTGCTTTGTGCAATATTAAAGCTGCTTGCATCAGGCAGGTAACATCAGGTACGTGCAACACCTAGCTGAAGAATCAAAGCTTGCAGGTATCAGGTGGCACGGACGCTCTCGCGCAGCATGGCTCCTGTTTTCAGGAGAGAAGGGGAAACTGAAATGTGTGAGAGCGAGAGATCTAAACCGTCACCTTTTGTTTTTCAATCCTCAGATCTTGGCGTAGCTGAGAATGGTCTGAGGTGATTTGTGTGGGACACAGGCATCACGACTGGGCATCCCTGCGGAGAATCGCTCCAGCACTTTCATCTGGATGTGAGGACCGGTCTAGTTATCCGTCTCTCACCTCCTCTGCATTTTTTTTATTTTTTTTTGATTTGTTGGTAGCTGTGAGGGGATCATGGGGGGAGCAGTCAGCGCTGGCGAGGACAACGATGAATTGATAGACAACCTGAAGGAAGCACAGTACATCCGTACAGACCGCGTGGAGATCAGGTGGCACGGACGCTCTCGCGCAGCATGGCTCCTGTTTTCAGGAGAGAAGGGGAAACTGAAATGTGTGAGAGCGAGAGATCTAAACCGTCACCTTTTGTTTTTCAATCCTCAGATCTTGGCGTAGCTGAGAATGGTCTGAGGTGATTTGTGTGGGACACAGGCATCACGACTGGGCATCCCTGCGGAGAATCGCTCCAGCACTTTCATCTGGATGTGAGGACCGGTCTAGTTATCCGTCTCTCACCTCCCTTTGCTTTTTTTTTTTTTTTTTTGATTTGTTGGTAGCTGTGAGGGGATCATGGGGGGAGCAGTCAGCGCTGGCGAGGACAACGATGAATTGATAGACAACCTGAAGGAAGCGCAGTACATCCGTACAGACCGCGTGGAGCAGGCCTTTAGGGCCATAGACCGTGGAGATTATTACCTGGACAGCTACAGAGACAATGCCTACAAGGATCTGGCGTGGAAGCACGGGAATATACACCTGTCAGCGCCGTGTATCTACTCTGAGGTGATGGAAGCGCTGAAACTCCAGCAGGGTTTGTCTTTCCTGAACCTCGGCAGCGGCACGGGATACCTGAGCACCATGGTGGGCCTGATCATAGGTGAGAACCACTCTGATAACTTGCATATAATTAAAAGACAATAAAGGAAACAGCAGATTTTGAAGATACTATTTATTTATATTGTTTATTATTATTCTTATAATTATTATTATTTAAAAAAATCGATCAAAAGAAAAACAGAAAATTATTAGAAGAAGAAATAAGAAATTTGCGCAAAAAAAAGAGAGCATTTTAGGACGAATCAGAGTTTTGCATTTTACGTGAAATTTATTTCATTTAAGTTGCATAAATCAGCTTTTTGGCCATCCATCTCTTGTCAAATGAGACCAGAGCAATTGTTTTTTTACTTAGTTATTTGTTTGAACATTACCTAATTGTAAGTTCACATTTGAATCATATTTAGGTATTAAATCTTTTATTTGCATTACTGTTATTATTATTATTATTATTATTATTGCTAAATTTGAGGGATTTAAACAAGCATACATTTTGGCACTACACACCTGAATGACTCAAATCATGCAACTTGTAAAGAGTTGAGTAATTGAGTAAAGATGTGATGTTACTCTTATAAGTAATCAGATTTATGATTTTTAGTTGGAGGAACATGAATAGAGTTTAAAAAAAACTCCCATAATACATTAACATTTACAGTTTAGGGGTGGTAATGTTTTGAAAGAAGTATTTTATTCTCATCAAGGCTGCATTTATTTGATCAAAAATACCATAAAACAGTAATATTGTAAAATATTATTACAATTTAAAATAACTGTTTTCTGTTTGAATATATGTTAAGATGTAATTTATTCCTGTGATGCAAAGCTGAATTTTCAGTATCATTACGCCAGTCTTCAGTGTCACATGATCCTTCAGAAATCATTCTAATATGCTGATTTCCTGCTCAAGAAACGTTTCTTATTATTATCAATGTTGAAAACAGTTTTTGTGGAAACCATAATACATGATTCTTTGATAAACAGAAAGTTCAATGAACAGCAATTTGTTTAAAATAGAAATATTTTGTGACTTTACTTCCTGTCACTTTTGACCAATTTAATGCATCCTTATTGAAAATATTGATTTCTTTAAAAAGCAAAACTATGCAAGATACTGCATAGTAACACATTGGCAATTTTTGTACCCTTTTCTCCAGAATCTTCAACTTTTGGTGTGTTATTAGCTGAAAATGTTAATATTTCAATGTAATGTCTTGGTATGTGACTGATAATAACTGAAAATAAAAGTGTAGTATTATATCAGTGATTCTTTTTTATTATTATTATTTGCAGGTCCGTTTGGAGTAAATCATGGTGTTGAGCTACACAAGGATGTGGTGGAATATGCAAAAGAAAGACTTGATGAATTCATTAAAAACAGCGACAGCTTTGACAGGCATGTTCAACTCTATTTTACATTCTTTCTCTAGATTTAAGTGCGAATGTAAATATTCAATTTTTTAAAAAGTGCTGGTTTTGTTACACCTATAGAAATTGAAATCACTTAACAGCATTTGTTTTAATTGGCAGCCGCCTCCAGGAAGGCAAACTGAGTTTGGAGAGAGCAACATGAGTCCCACCGCAGTTCTGTGGTTAACTTCAGAGATCGCTTTCATTGGAACTTTGATTTACTCGGCTCTGCCCATTAATCTTCCATGTGACACGGAGGATGCATTAGCTTTCCCCGAACCACAGTCTCAATGAATAAATACTTCAAGCGGCCGTCAGCTCTCTGCGGTCTGCTGAGCGATTCGCACACCTGCGGGAACACCTGTCACAGCCAGAACCACTAGCTCAGACAGTCCACTTCAGCATTGCACACGCAACCGGCTTTCCCTGAACGCCCTCCCCGGCATTTTCCGCTTTCAAACATCTGTTTTCGTCATGCACCAGCACTAGCAGCGTTGTTGAGGTCAGGAGAGAGCCGTAATGATGTATCAGACAAAGCACTGACACTATTAAACAAGCCATAAAAGCGTGTTTCATAACAGAAGACCATGTGCCATAAGGTTGCTTAATCAATGTAGTTGAGCTTTGGGAGCTCGATATCTGTTACACGTCTTGTCGAGTCTATGACTACTCCATAAAACTGCTGCTAAGCAAATAAAAACACGTATGACTAATGCTAATAATATGCTCAATATCACATTTCTCTTGGCATCATATCAGTTCTCTACCGGTTAAATGAGGAAAATTGCTTTTTATTCATTCATAAAAATGAATTCTTACATTTTCTGAAGGAAATGCGAATATACTTGTCCGTGCAAAACCCGCCGACATATTGCTAGGCTGTTGTTAGCGCATTGCTGTTTGGTTGCTCTGTGGTTCTTTGGTTGTCACGTTAATGATAACTCAAATTATATAGCTTGTTGAAAAGAGGTGTGCTATTACTTCTAAGCCATTTGAAAAGCCATTTTTGCCTGGTGGACAATAAATCATGCAAAACACCTGCATCTAGAGGCCAGAATATTGTAGCGATACAAGGTGGACTCTTTTGACTATTAAAATAATCTTTTTTTTTTTTATGCTTACAAAAAAAAATATATATATATATATATTTATAAAAAAATATTTTTTTAATTAAAAAATTTCATTATTTTTAAATACAATAATTTTACTCTTTATTAATTTTTTTTTATTATTAAAAAAGTTATTCTCATTTCATTGCAAAATGAACTTTTTTTATTAAAGACTGTACAGTTCTTTAACCTACTGGACTCACAAAAAGAATTGTGGTTAATTCATTTAATATATTGACACTGACAGTTTCTATTAATAAAAAAATTTAAACAAGCAGTTTTATTAAAATTACAGCAGAACTCTAGCACAAAATCTGCTTGTTTTCATTTTTTTTCTTTTCAGAAACTGTAAAAAAAATATTGTGCTTTGACTTCAAGACAAAAAGGTCTAGAAAAGTCATAGTAGCACACTAAAATCAACTGGAACATGTTAGCAGCTGTAAGATTTATGAAAAGAGACTGGGATATGTAGAAATTGTGTTGTAGATGTTTTAGAAATGGATACCAGTGTTCTACAGTAAACATGTCCTCTCAGGTTTGAGTTCTGCGAGCCACACTTTGTGGTGGGGAATTGTCTGGAGATTTCCTCAGACAGTCACCAGTACGACCGCATCTACTGCGGCGCTGGAGTTCAGAAGGACCATGAGAACTACATGAAAATCCTGCTGAAAGTCGGAGGAATTTTGGTCATGCCGATAGAAGATCAGGTAAAACCCAGGGTGATACATACTGTACAGCGGCCCTGAAATCACTTACAAATGTCTGAATGTCAGTAGATCACAATATGAACCCAAATGTCTGCATGTTTCAAATGCTGCAGGATCTTGCAGCATTTGAAACAATTGTGAAAATTGTCATGAATGCAATATTTATGCTGCTATATAAATGCATGATATTGTAGAACAGTATCTGTAGTTTCATGATCCTGTTGAGCCTCATGTCTTGCATCAAATGTTTGAGCTGGTTATTAGTGTGGAGTCTCTCTCATTGAGTGTTTGTGTGTTGTCGCAGCTGACTCAGATCACTAGAACCGGTCAGAGCTCCTGGGAGAGTAAGAATATCCTGGCGGTGTCATTTGCTCCTCTTGTTCAGCAGAGCAGGACAGAAGGCTGCAAGCCTGATGCTGTGGTGCTCCGTGAGTCTCCGCCTCTTTTATGACCTCACACTGCTCTGGCCAATCAGCTGCCGCTAGGGTGGTTTACAAAGGGCAACGTTACAGACTGATTTATTGCAGATTTCATTACCTGATTCATTCAGAACAGTAAACAACACTACAGGCAAAAGCTGAAATTGTTTGTTTTTGTTTTTTTCTCTGGTCAGTCTTGAGATTTTGTGCTATTTTGCTTCTATAACATGTCTTCTTTCAGACTAATGGATAGAAAACATCCAAAATACACATTACAAAGTTTTTATTTTATTTATCTTTAAAGGCAGTTTATTCAAAATGCTGTTTTTCTCATGTAGTGAGTCAGAAATCTCCGCATCCGTAACACTTGCATATACAAACTTTACAGTTTTGTATTCTGAAGAAGGATTTGTTCATATATCATTCATCCGACTTACATTTTATTCCTAAAAACATTGTGATTTTTATCCCCTGGCTGTTGTTGACAGTATTTTCTGATTTATGGAGTGATAACTGTTTTTGCAGTGGGAATCTGGGAATTTACAGTGGGAATATATATATTTTTTTATTCTAAACTGCCCAGTTTTACGTATACACACACACACACATACACACACACACTCACACACACACTCACTTGTGACCCTACAGTGAGGTCGCACTATTTTCTACTCAAAAGGTCAAAAAAATTTTTTTAAACAAGCCCAAACTAGTAGATGGAACTTGAACATGATTATATGCATCAATAAAATTAATCATCTTTAATGAAATGTAAATTTGACTTAACCCCAGGATTTAATAAAGAGGATGGATTCTGAACACTCTTAACCCATATTCTCATAGCTTGGGGGGGGTATCCATCTTTCAAAGGACCAAATGTTCGACAAAGTAGTACTTTATAAATTGAAATCATTTCAATCTCCAGATTTCAAACTATCTGGGAACATTTGCATTCATCAGTTTGACCACAATTTCAAATCTGTGTGCGTGTCACATCTGAACCACACTTAAAAAATAACTAGCCATGTTGCAAACTATAAAATATGAATTGGCAATATTTATGCATATATGACTAGTTGACACATATACCGTAAATGTGTCCTATGGTCTGACAGCAGAAATTTAGAAAAAAAAAATAACAATGAAGAAAAATCTCTCTTATGCTATTTGCATATTATTAACAAGAAATTTTTAATAATGATTAATTATTGTTTTCAAAATGTTGCTGTTACACCATAGTACACATGTACAGTATATATGTCAACAACCCATATATATATATGTATATATATAGTTTTTTTTTTTTTTTTTAGTTGGGACTACGTAATAATTTTTGTTGAATTAAGTAAACTTTTGACATTAACATTTTACATCTTGAGTAAACAGTTTTGCATATTTAAGTAGATTGGACAGTTAAATTAAGCACACTGTTTTAAAAATTAAGTTTTTAAATAAAAATGAAATTGTTTTACAAGAAAATTTTATTTAATCCAACGTTTAATCCAATGTTACTTGCCATTTTTTGTAATTATTTGTAAAAAAGAAAAAAAAAGATTTTCTAAGTGAAAATAGTTTCAAAGTAAATCCTAAAAATCCTTTTTTTTTTTTCAGTGTAGAAACCAAATGTTAGGCAGTTGTTTTTGCTTAAATGCATTTTAGTTATTTAACAAACAACAGAAATCATTTTTTATTACAGTGTGGCTTTATCCAATATTTAGATTTCTGTTCTGGAAATATAAGCAAATGAGTGCATATTTCGTTAGATTATATTTAAAAAAACCTTTCCGCAAACTTGTAATACAAAACAGTTGTCTTGATGTACTGTGAATAATCAGCTGGTGCGGTGTAGTGATATCCATTCGTTTTTACCCTATTGCCCTGCGGTGTCTTGCCTTCAGGTTTAAACTAATTAGTTGTGCACACAAATGAGATCTGAGAAAAACCTTTAGCCATTACCCTGTATAAATTGTCTGTTCCTTAGCGCCGCTGTCTGTGAGGACTCTTCAGGACCTGGCACGAATCTACATCCGCCGGACCCTCCGCAACCTGACCAACGAGGAGCAACCAGCCCGCAACAACACACAGCGAGCGCCGCAGAAACGCAAACGCAGGCGCTGCCGCCGCCGCCGCCGCATCAACACCTACGTGTTCGTGGGGAACCAGCTGATTCCTCAACCCATGGACAGCGAGGGGGACGAATGCATCGAGGAGGAGAGCAAAGAGGAGGAGCAGGAGAAAGACAGTGAGCCCGTCAAACCCGAGGAGCCGCGGGTCAACCATCTGAGAGACAAAATCCTGAGTCTGCCGCTGCCCGAGTCGCTGAAGGCATACCTGCTGTTCTACCGCGAGAAATAACACACGAGAAATTGCCCGTAGAAGCATTAATCAACTGTGGTTATTTCCTTCTCAGACTACTTCTGACCTTCAATTTCATAGTTTTTGTTTTTGATAATGTAGCATAATTTCAAGATTTAAACGGGGCTGGGCTACATTTGCAAGAGACGCTGGATTTGATTGTGCTTGCTGTGTTTGTTCTAATGACTCATAATGTTGTAATATTCACATTTTGAATGTGATTTTTCACTTCAGAGGGCCTTGGGGGTTTAGAAGCTTCTAGCTCACCTTGTTTGTATTGAGAAGAGTTCGCTAAATGTGATGGAAGCTCTTTTTCACTGGCTTGTATTGTAAGACCAGCTGTTTGATGAAACCAGTAATGCATTTTGAATGTGATTTTTCACTTCAGAGGGCCTTGGGGGTTTAGAAGCTTCTAGCTCACCTTGTTTGTATTGAGAAGAGTTCGCTAAATGTGATCGAAGCTCTTTTTCACTGGCTTGTATTGTAAGACCAGCTGTTTGATGAAACCAGTAATGACAGTTTTCTTTCTTTTTTTTTTTTTTTGTAGGGAGAATGAAAAACTCGAGTCATTATTTTGGGATTGATTTTTGCCACCTTTGATTCTCTGAAGCTTTTCTTCTGCTGTTTATGATGCTAATGCTTTCGATATTTCTTGGGACTGTTTTAGTGAAGTTCATCAAGAGATGGGGTTTTTTTGGCCGGTGTTTTGCATTTCTATTTTTTATTTTTTTTTAGTCACGTTTGTAAGTACTGATATTGAGCTGTCTCTTAATAGATGATGTAATTTTTTGCTTGTTCCTTTTGTCTTCGAGTCGATTTGAAGACCCAACGCTCCACTTTTCTGCTTGCGATCATAAAATGTAAGAGACGTCACTGTTTGTGTCGGTTTGTAATCGGTGATTTCTCACTGTTGTAACAACTCGTTTGCAATATATTGTCAGCATAAGAAATCTGTGGCTTAATTTCAGTTCTTCAGTTGATTGTCAAGGATTTTGATACACTGAAATGGAATATAATAGAATTTGCATCCGTCATGTTTGTCACATTTCCCAAAGTACACGGAGAAAGATTGAGATATTGAAAAAGACCCAAAGTATGTTTACATAGCCCTGACAAAATCTACTAAATATTAAAAAAAAAAAAAAATTCATCGGATTCATATAAAATTGCATTCTGTTGTTTTAGTACTGCCCTGATGAAGCATAACATATATTTGGATATATACAGTACTAAATAACTGATTTTATATAAATGATTCTGCTGAAATGTTCTTAATGTTGCGTGTCGCCTCTATTACTGTTCATGTTCTTTTGTGATGGTTGTACGTCTCTGGTTTGTCCCTCAAAAGTCCTCCAGGTCCATCTAAGCGCTTCCTCACAGTGGCTATAGGATGTCGAGATCCAGTTTTACCACTCAGGGACTGACAAAACCGTCATAAAAGACTAAAAACAGTCATTGATGCTCGAGGAAACCACACATGATATCAAGAACCAAATACGTATATTTTCAACAGGATCTATTGTGTAATTCAAGTTACTTTGTGTTCTGCAATATATGTACATATCTGTTGTGCAGCTTTTTCAGGGCAGTGCTAAATCTAAAAAAAAATTATAATTAAATCCTATTTTAAGATTTTATCTAAAAAAACTGACTACATTTATTACAATTATTTTTTTATTTCTAAAATGACTCCATAAAATGTATTTCAATAAATTAGGTTTGGACATTCATTTTAAAAAGGCTTAGTTATGCCACAGCTATGAACCATTATTTGCAACAAAAAAAAAAGCTGATTTAAAATTTTTTTTTTTTTTAATGAGTGAGGAAGATGTAAATTTACATGTGCTAAAAAGTTCTTAGAAGTACACTAGCACACAGACATGGACTAAAGGCCACAATTTTTTTTATTTTTTGGAGTTTGTGACTTCAAACACCTTAAGTCATTGCCTATCTCCTGTTATTTATGAAATGATGGTGAGAGAGAAACTAGAATGTAAAGATAAAAACCAAAATGATTTTTCATATTTGGCCTTACAGGTTAAGGTACAGTATCTCTAATAGATCAACACCAGCACAGTCTAGAAACAATGTTTTGATCTTTTTAAACAGTATTGCACCAGCTTCTAATTCCAAATGACTTTAAAACTCATAAAAGAGAGAAATTCATGTTTTTTTTTTGTTATTGAGAAAGTAGGATGACACATTTAAGTGTAATATTTTATTAAACAAACTTTAATGTTACATTTCCCTCCTGAAAATAAAGATCATTTATGACTATTTTCAGTCAACTCATGAAAATGCTCAAAGCGTTGGAGATATTGAGAGAAGAAACTACAGGCCATGCAGATTCTACATGAGTTCTGAGAGCATCTTGTAATAATTTTCATTATTTTTCATATTGCTTATTGACTGTAAACCGGACTGTTTCTCAAGATAAGAGCAGCCTGTCCGTTGACTTTGAACGCAAGAACGTTTCATGAGCTCTTTTTCCACAGCATGACGTCCTACACATGCTCCCTGTCTTTGCTTAAGTGTATCACTGACTGTAATTTGATGCTTTGTTTCTCAACCATCTTTTCATTAAATATATTTATAGCCAACCTGTTACTTTTACTAAGCTGGTGTTTGTCAAATGAGTTTTAGTTTTGTGTGTGTGTGTGTGTATACACATTAAAAAATACAATGACAAGTTTTTATGCTTGTTTCGTGTCTAAGTCTGTCACAAACATGTCTGGTAACACTTTATAATAAGGTTCATTAGTTAATAACATTAGCTAACATGAACCAAGAATGAACAATACTTCTACAGCGCTGGTGTTTGTCAAATGAGTTTTAGTTTTGTGTGTGTGTGTGTGTGTGTGTGTGTGTGTGTATACACATTAAAAAATACAATGACAAGTTTTTATGCTTGTTTCGTGTCTAAGTCTGTCACAAACATGTCTGGTAACGCTTTATAATAAGGTTCATTAGTTAATAACATTAGCTAACATGAACCAAGAATGAACAATACTTCTACAGCATTAATCTTAATGTTAATTTCAACATTTACAAATGCATTATTAAAATCAAAAGTTGTGCTTGTTAACATTAGTTAATGCGCTGTGAATTAACATGAACAACTGTATTTTCATTAACTAACATTAACAAATACTGTAATAAATGTATTGTTCATTGTTCGTTCATGATAGCTAGATAGATAAGATTCATATATACATAAGTTGTGCTTGTTAACATTAGTTAATGCGCTGTGAATTAACATGAACAACTGTATTTTCATTAACTAACATTAACAAATACTGTAATAAATGTATTGTTCATTCATGATAGCTAGATAGATAAGATTCATATATACGTGTGTATAATGTTGTTATTGGGTGACGGAGTAGAAACCCAAGCACATAAAACTATTAAAGTGTAAAAAAAAACAATTTCAGCTTGGACAACAATACAAACTCTAAGGTCACATTATAAAATCTTTATTAACTATACATCTTTATTAAAACGAACCAGTTTTCTAAAAATAAAAGAATGCTTTTCAGCCTGGGGAAAATCACAAATCTCTCTTTTGCATAGACTAAACGCTCAACAACAGGACAAAAATCAGGGTTATGAAAAAAAAAGAAAAAAAAAAATATTTAATGGCGCAAAAGTGCTTCTCAGTAAAACCACATTTACTATTCCATCCACAGGGTCCTACATTAACTTTGGGGTGGCAGCATGGTGGGCAATAAATGGTTAATATTTTCTAGAATATTACAAAATTGGACACTTTGTGGACATAGAAGTTTAAGTTCAATCAAAGTGGTAGTTAAAAAGGAGCTAATGTATATTTTTAGTACAATCACATACTTCAGCATGAGGAAATGTCTAAAGTTGAACGGCTGAATTTAAAGCTTTGGCCATAATGCTAGATGACACACATCTTATTCTTGCATGTCAGTTCATGACATTAGCATGCGTTTAATGACAGCATCATAACAGCAGCCTTAAATATGTACAGAGAAATTTTAGAGTCAACATGAAAGCATATACATAACCCACTTTACTACATATGTATATAAAATAAGGCAATAACCTTTAGATCAATGTTAACCATCATTAAAATTAAATTGACTGTTAATAGCATAAACCTATAGTACAGCATAGTTACTTAAAAAAAATTTTAAATAAAAAAAAAGTCTAGAGGACAACCAAAAAAAATAAAGGCAAAGTCTTTGCTGTAACGTGTGCTGATGGATAATGCACAGGAAAATTAATTTTAATAGTAACACTTTACAATAAGGTTCCATTAGTTTACATGAATTAACAATGAAAAATAATTCTAAAGCATTTATTACTCAATGTTAATTGCAACATTTACTAATACATTGTTAAAAATCAAAAGTTGTCCGTTAATATATATATATATTTTTAATTTAACAAAGATTAATAAACACTGCAACAAATACAATGCTCATTGTTAGTTAATTTCCGTTAATGCATTAACTCGCATTAACACATTCCTCGTATGTGTAAACATACCTGGCAATAAAGCTCATTCTGATTCTGATTCTAACTAACGGGACCTTATTTTAAAATGATACCATTTTAATAATTAGTAAGTAAATAAGTAAAGTAAATATTATAAGTAAATAGGGTCTGTTATCATTTCATGTTGACTTTATCAGGTTAAATGGGTGGCATATTTTGTACTTTGCAAGTTTATGCACCAATACATTTATCTTAGACATTGGCAAAAAAAAAGAAAAAAAAGTTAACTTCATTGATTAGCTTAGCAAGTACGTCGTTCCTTTGAGAAAGCTGAAATGTGCATTATACGGTCACGTCATACAATTCCAGTTCATCTTCAGTTACATGATTCATTCTTTAATAAAGTATCAAAATAGATCCAATATGAAAATAATACCCACATTCTTCAGTTTGTTTCTCTAGGCAGTCAGACGGGGCGCCGTTTTAATAGCTTTTTGTACAGATTTAAAAATTAATGTTCAATTTATGTGGATTTGCATTGATTTTAAAAACATTTGGACCTAAATAACAGGTTACACATTGGATCTCTAACAGACATTCAAAAGCTTTGTTTTTCTGTAAATGTATATTTAAGATAGTTGGTTTTATTCTTTTTGACTATTTGAGAAAACGCAGATCAACAGAGGCTCAAGAACATGGTGCACTTCATGGCAGTTTCACAACAGGTTCATTCCAATCAACAACCAGATTAAATAAGATTCTAAAAGTATACACAAAGAAGTGTTAATATCATTTGAATGCAAACAAGATGCATTGCAATATCAAAGGGAAAGAGTCCATCTTTCTAATGACCCACTAACTGCATCTGAAGCATTTTCAG